CCAGGGAAACATGGCACATACCCACCGACGCGTGATCAATGAGATGGCGAAGCTTAAGATCGCTAAAAGCGAGGTCCGCTTCAAGCTGGACCTGGTGCTTCTTGTTGGACTCATAGTCTACTGCAGCAGTCATCAGACTCGACACCATGCGGTTAAGGTCTCGAATAAACTGCTCGCACATTTTGTCGTGAGGACGATAAGGGTTTGTGCCAAAGATGAGGTAGCCAAAGAGACGCCCACCGCACATGATGGGCATGACGACGATCTTCTTGGACGGCGCGCCCCAGCCTTTCCAGTCGAGAGATGAGAAGCGGTCGTCGTAATCGATAATGGATTGGTCTGTGCCAGCTCGTCGCATGTCCGGTATGAGACCTTCTTCACTGTCGATCGTAGCCGTGTTCACCAGAAGAGGATGGCCCTCGGGGAGGCCTATATGACCATGCAGCCTCAGTGAATTGGAGACTGCTGTTTCCTCCATCCTGTATAACATGACCATAGGTACATCGTACGTATTCGTCTCCAGCGTGTTGAGGATGTGCGAGCAGATATTGTCAATGGACCGTGGAGGCACCGAGGCGAGCTTGTTCAAGCATTTTATGCGGCGCTCAGTGAGTATCTCTGTGGTTACTTCGTAACTGGGGAGCACATCAGCTCTGCATCCAAAACGCTACCTGCGCGTCAACAGTACTGCTGTCATGACGGGAGCGCATCTGGTGCGACCAAAAAAAACTCACACATGGTTGATGTAGCCTTCTACTGCGCCAGGCATTCCTACGGGGGTAAAGCCACCGGAAAAGAAAGCTTCCTCGCGGTAGCCCTTGCGGTCGACGAAGGTGGAATGAGCCGAACTATAGTTGACACCAATGCCGGTGCTCTTTGCCTGTTCAAAATAGGCGCTGACGGAAGGCCACAGCTCTGGATAGCCCTCCTGAAAGAGGGATCCCATGAGGCCAGGGTGCACGTTGGCGGCAAGAGGGACATATTTGTCATTGTAGATGGCCGTCAGGTGGGAAATGTCTCCCCACCAGAGACATGCGGCGCGCGAGTCTGTGAGGACATAACTGGCAAAGAGCCGCAACGTCGGGCTCCAGCTGTCAAGGGGGCCCAGGCGAGTGCGCGACCAGTCGGTGTTGCGGAAGAAGCGAATATGAGGGGTTTGTGGCAGGGCGGCAGTCCAGTCGCATTGTTCGTTGGTGGTAGTCGCAGTAAGGGACGCATTGTCAGGAGAGTCGATGCCTCCGTCTTCCGGGGGTGGGGTCAGCATCTGCACAAGACAGGAGCATATGCGAAGATGGCAAGGCACACAAGGGGCTGCAGCATCCTCATAGGAAGTGGAGGGCTGAGGAAGACAAGTCTGGGGCCCGTTGATCCTGCAACCATATGATGGACTAGTCGTCTAACCCGCCGGTGTTTCTCTCGGGCACCAGTGGCAGTCAGTTGCATGCATGCATGCCGTCTGCCAGGTGGGGACGGGGCGCAATCGAAGATGGCCTTGCAGCACACCCACGCCTGCCAAGCCCCTTCCGATCGGCCACGTTCCGAGCCCCGACATTCCGATGCAACCTTGCCGCACAGCCGTGCTTGTGCCTTAGCATGTACCAGTACTTGTACACGTACCGTCTATCTGCGTGTGTTCATGTACATATACATACATACACACATACACGCACACGCATGCTTACGCTGCCTATCTACTGCTCCAACCAAACACCCGCATGACGCTGTCCACCACAACACGAGCCCCATCACAAATCCATCATTCATCGTCCTTGTCATGCTCACCCGCAAGCACGCAAAGGCCCGAGTCGCGTGTTGCACATCTCTTGCATGCGCGTGGGCGTCTCCTGCGCCGGCCCTCCATGGCCGCAAGCGATTGGCCGCCTGCCCTTCATCGACCGATCCTCACCAGGTTGAGCGTGTGAGACAGGGGCACCGTCGTCGCTCGACCCTGTCTTGGGGCGGCCCTCGCCTTTTTTTGCAGCCTCACCGGACCCAATGACCTGATCGTCCTCGGCATCTTGCGTGTGAACTGTACGCTGGCACGGCCCCGCTGACACTACACAATCGTATCACGTCTCCTGCTCGTGCACATTCGTTGTCATTCATCCATCTATTGCCAGACTGTGTCTCTATCTGCCAACCTAGATGTCATCTTTGACATCAAGCAGGCATTCCTAGTGCGGCCTTGGTATGCTCAATTCCTTTTTGTCACTCACCCGAGCCTTTCCGCTGATCGTCAGAAACTGCCCTCCGATCCCGAATCGTGAGACCACTAGGATATAGCTCTGCAAAGCTTTGGTTCGAATCCTGCCCGTTGCCCGCCACAGCTCGAAAACAATAAGGCCGCCCATTGTGATACACAAGACTATACTTGGTCTCATCAACCTTGCACCGCTGCACAGTGCGCATCGACCCATCCTTCTCGATGACAAGTGTCGAGTGCCATGGTGTCGCCCCAAGTGCACCTTTTTCTTGCTGCGGGATGACAGCCATGGACAGCTTATCCTTTCCACCAGAATCGTGAATTGACAGACGCACATACTGCGTAGGCACAGCCGCCATTGCAGCAGAGAAGGCTTTCCAGCGACCCATCATCTCTTTTGCCGTGTTTGCAATATCCGCAGCCTGGTCCTCTGGAGAAAGAGCAATGTGCCTTTCGTTCAGCGCGAGGTCCTGCTTCAGAAATTCGAGATATTTGGTATGCGTCATTTGCATGTCGCTAGTGCTAGTATTCGCCATATCTGCCTCGAACTTGGGGTCTCCGTACTGTCGCTTGAGTTCTTTGCGGATGTTGGATGCATTCTTGAGATAGTACTCTTTGGATTGAAAGTCTCCCGAGTACCGGAGTATATCCCACAGTCGCAGGAAGCTGATGTTGTTGAGGTTGTTGTCGGCTGCTATCTGTCGAACGCTTTGGCCAAAATTCCATACCGTCTCGTCACTCACGCCGAGAAGGTCTGTTGCCATTAGTCAAGGACATGCATATGTGGGGAAGCGTGGGGTAATATACCGTTGTATACAAGGCCATCAGAGGTGATATGGCATCCAGCGCCAAACTCATAGACTGCCTTGATCTTTTCGCAGAGCCCATCCAAATGCTTCAGCGCAAGCTCCTCGCCCAGATCCGGTAAGACACCCAAGACCTTATCCTTTGTGTTTGGAGATTTGAACGGAAAACCAGGAAGTAGCATGAGCACGGGCTCTTTGCGCTCAACCTGCCCTTTGACAATCGGCAGGAACGTTTCGAACCCCTCCCACTTGCCAGTCCGCTCATAGTTCAAACCATATTGTTCGATGATCTTGAGTATTTCCTCGGCTTTCGCGTCGACGCTGGTTTGCGTAATTGCAGAAGACATGATTCGTGTTGGCTCCTTGAAGAGAGTCATATGCAGCTGAACCATGGGTTCAACGAGTACTTATGTTACCCTGGAATTCAGCTTCTCTTTGGGGGCTGTATCCCAAGAAGAGGCGCTGCTGAGGCACAGCTGTAAGCACGCACAAACTTGCGGCCGACTTGCAGGCCGCATCGCACAATCCTTGCGCCTTCAACAACATTGTTTCATTTCTACAAAACCCACTGCGGACATACTACCAAATGATGGTTAATGGTTTTGAAAACGCATATAGACGTTGCGTATCGATCAAAAAAGCAAATCTGCTCCATCGCAACACAAACAAGTTCCCCGATGTGGCTGACCCTAGGTATGGAGCCATCCTTCTCCGCGGAGGCATTCAACTACCCACACCCCCATCACCCAAATGCCGGGACGCAGGGCAAGTCTATTTTTGAGCCTGGCTCAGCCTCGTGGATACTGTTTGGTTGACCTTTCAGCCGCAGTGGGTCCTTGGTCCCAATGTCGTTAGTAGACAAGTCTAGGCAACGTCCCGCGCCCATGGTTGCCAAACACTGCTTGATCGTGATTTTGTGCCCAATTGCCATTTGTGCACTTGGATCGCGACCGGGAAGCTTGCTGCTGACGGTTTCTAGAGCACCGTGTTTGCGAATTGAGCCCTGATTGTAAGACACTCTTTGTTAAGATGTCTCGCCTAAACGGGCATAGTGCCTTGGCATCCGTCTGGTATTTGTAGCTACTTCCAGACTCCACCATGAATACCAACCTTATATAGCATATATGTTCTGACCACCGTCTGAACCACTCGGATACTACGCTCTTCGAGTTCTTCAAGCTTCTATAAAAACGATATATCAAGACCAAGTATGAAGACGTATCTGTTACGTACCTTTTTATAATCTCATTTTTACTAGGAGATAACGACTTGCCCATTAATAAGCATTTGGGCCGCAGTTTCCTTTTCGATACGAGCGCCTCAACCTATGTCAATTTCCTCGCTTCTCTCCCTCTCGTTTGAACCACCCCTCTTCTTCTATCTCCCCATTGTCTCCGAGATGGAGACAGAATCTCACCCAAGACTCCAGAAGGTTGTTACTGCTACCTGGGCTCTGCCAGAGATATTCGATGCCGGCGGAATCTTCCGCAACTTCTATGCCAATAGTATGGTGCACATCACAAAAGTGCACTGAAAGCGTGGCGATTTATCGTTGCTTCCTGTTTCTAGTTTTTAGGACAAAGCAGAGACTACACATTCTTGCACGGAATCTAGGAAGCAATAGTTAGGATTGTGGCTTCCTCTTCTTCATGGAAGAATTTGGGTCCTAGGTGTAGAGGAGCCTCACTCATCTCTTACTACGAACTGATCGTACTTGACGATATTGTGGGTCTCAGCACTTATTAACATGTCAGCGACGGGAACCTGGATACTTATCAATCTGCTCAACAACCAGATACCGCTCCAACCGCTTTCACATATACAATGTCACGAATTTCTACAATAGTTTTCCTACCAAAAGAGTAACAGAGGATTTCATTCGCTATAATAATTGTCACTCACCTTGTGCGAAATGAAGGCGCGACTGGCCCGGGACTTAGTACCTACTGGTTCAGGGATGCCTGGAGTTGTCGTTCCCGCTCCGAAGTCCCTTACTTCCCCAGCCGTGCCCTCTCTTTCTCATCCTTCCTCTGCCACATTCTTTCCTTTCTCTTTTCTCCTTCCCTTTTCTTCATCTGTGCATATACAAAAACATTTTCATCCACCTCCCCACACTCCTTCAGCTGCTTCTCAATTTCTTCTTCTTCCGCCTTGGACGCCTCTACAATCGCTTCTATTTTCGACTCGGAACACTTGGTTGATTCCTCGCTGCCTGGTCTGTTTAGCTCCCATCCGTATACAGAATAGCCCTTTCGCAGCTTGTCGAATACCTTGCGCATCTCATCGTCTCGGTGCTTTTTGCACGCGGTCGACATGACCATTTGCTGCAGGCCACAGCGGTACCACCCGTTAGATTCGCTATATTCCCAACAGGGACAATAGCTTTGGTGCATCAGGTCACCATAGCATTCGGCGGTTCGTGCGTGGTTAACGCCTTGGCTGCAGTGATGACGAACGGTGGTTGAAGCACCTGTGCGGACGTTTGTTACGGCCGTGGTCCAGTTTAGCGCGTGGATATTGGGGCCATGAACGAGACGGTTGAGTTCCTTCATACTGTAGCTGTTTAGGAGCTCATTGGCCTCAAAGATGTGGTAAGTGTGCTTACCGGTTTGGTTGAACATTTGAGAAACATCGTTCTCCAGTTGTGAGTTCTGTTGTCTCTCCATTGTGTATTCGCTTTGTTTTGTTGGGGATATGTATAAGTCAAAAGATTGCGGTACTAATTTTTGGGCTCTAAGGCTGGAAATGGTGTATGAAATTGTCAAATGATCTTGCTGTGTGGAACTGGTTGTGGATGATGTTGAGAAATGTGAAGCTTACTGTCCAAGTGGGATTTCATATAAATATTAGAAATCCTTCCTTCACAATGTTTTCTGTGTGATAGCTACGCAGTAATATCTCCAGCTTTTGCCCACTTTATTGGCTGTTGATGCTCGGTTGGGGGTGAAAGCCACACTGGAAGTCTTTCTCTTGAGCGAATCAGATAGCTCTCACCATTGCGCCATGTTTAGTTTATATACAGTGTTATGCAGATAGGATACATGGTCGCATTGCTGACGCCAGATATCTATGAGTACGACTTGGTGTCTTCTATCCAACTAATCATGTGCTTCGTTACGATGACGTGTCACAGTATACTCATTTTCGGGAGTTATGGTTGCATTGTAAAGTGATGCTTATTACTTTCGTTTATACGACAGTCGTACATCACTTCATGGAGCTCGCATCGTATGAGTTGTAATTCTGACCACTGTTTGTTGTACATCGTGTCTCTGTTCACTTACCATGGAAGTCCAATCTACTCAGTCTTGCATCATAATAGTTTATTTGGAAAAACGAACAGTTAAGCAACAACGTTACAATCACATTGAGACGAAAGTTTTGAAAGCATCAAGAAGCACTACCATGAAATTCAAACCTAAAATGCCTACAACGCCAAAATATCACATACCGACAAGATGAGCTTCCCCAAAGATCCCTGTACCCCTATCCCCACCACCTACCCCCACGAACTTATCCTCCTCCCAACCTCTCCAACCAAACAACCAACCTCTCCAACTTCACCCCCTGCACATCCATCTTCCTCGCCTCAGCCAGCGCCAACATCCACTCCCGCCCATCCCTCCCCAACTGCACCGCAACCTTCCTCTCCCTCTCCTCCCTCTTCAACTCCCTCCCCACATACATTTCCACCGCCCACGGCTTCGCGTGATAGAAGCTCGTATTCGACTTTCTTGACCCCTCGGCAGACGCCCACACCCCGGGCTCGTAGGTTGGGTGGCGGCGGAAGTATGTGTATTTGTGGCGCTTGTGCTCGGCGGTGGTGTGTGCGGAGTGTGGGGCAGTAGTGCAAATGCGGGAGAGGGATTTGAAGGGGGAGGGGTTGGCGGTAGAGAGGTGCTCGGAAGAGATGGTTACGAAGGGGGAGATGCGGACGTGTTTTGATTGTCGTGCTGGATGGTCAGGTCTCGGGGTGATGAAGGCGCGGAGAGATTTGAAGATGGATTTGGGAGTGGCTGGGCAAGTGTGGGTGGTGGTGGTGGTGGTGGTGGTGGTGGTGGCGAGCGAGGTTGAAAAATGTTCAGTCTCCGCATTTTGTGTTTGCGAGGATTGCTGAGGAGATTGAATCAGGACTGGGGAAAAGGGAGCGAGTGTTGGCTGCCAGGTGTCGTAGAAATCGATTTGTGGTAGAGCTGTTGGTGGACTTGCGATAAGGGAGGGGACTGAAAATGACCTGGGCTCTACAAGTTGCCAACCAGGTTGATCTTTGTCGGGCGGTCGAGCTGGTATCGAGCGGGCTTTGTGTCTCATGGCGCTCAGTATCATCTCCCTCTTCATTGTATTTCGTACCCAGTTCATGAACACCCTCGCACGTTCTCTATCTTCTTCTGTCGGTACAGGTGTATCTGGCCCTCTAACATATCTCAGGCCTGGCACTCTACCCAGAAAAAATTTCTGGTCGTCCCATATTCTCAGTGCTTCGCTCAGCTTTGCTATGTCTTCAACTGGCAAGTCAGGCTCATTGAGCAAGCCTTCGAACTGGATGATGGTATTTGTCAGTGCAACCTTAGTCTTTTTCCAGTACCTTGTAGCGATGACGTGCTTTTTAACGTCGCCTGAACTGGACATGAAGACGCCTCCACGGGTCAAGAAGTGATTCTGAGCCGCTCGCACTGCGGCCATTTGAGAGGTGATGACGCATACTGGGCAGGCATTCTGAGACAGTGGAAGCTTGACCCCAAGGGAGGACGAAACAGCATGTGTGCAGTCGCTGATCATAGGCATGGAGCTGGTGATTTCGGTCATTTTGTGAGAAACTAGAGCAATGTTTGTGAATGATGGAAGAAGAAAAGGTACAGCGGCGGAAAGATCATTATGGCGATATGATAGTGAGCGAGCTGGTGTGCACTTATACTATAAATCCTCTGGTCCATGTACCGAAAAGGTGCATATACGTGACGTATTGAAGATATGAAGCGGTACAACGTTTCTATAAGCCTCACTTGTGCCGAACGTTGCTATCGAGGCGCTGAGGCAAAAAACATCATGTCACAACCACAGCACATAGAGACCTCGTTGAAACTGGCATTTGAAACATCCCTTGTGGTATACACGCTATGAAGACTGCAAAAGAGACGCAACTACAACAGCTTCTTGCGAATGAACCTGTTGAAAAATGTACTTGTAATGCATGATGCTGCCTCGTGGCCGCACGAGACACCTACCATGCGCTCACACTTTCGATGCACCAATAAAACTGCTGCCCGCCGTATGCCATCACAACACCTATTGCAGCAGTAAATGGTTCTCTTTTCCTGCTATTTGGTGGTTGGGATGATTGAATGAAGGTGCTCACACATGTGTTCAAATCGACGTGTAGGATTTACTGTGGAGGTAAAATAGGTCGAGTTGCTCGCCTTTTTCACACGCTAGTGCGGCGATTAATTCCAGATACAACGACTGAAATTGGTTTCTCACATCTCTCGGTCGGCGTACCCAGCGTGTTTGTCTAGTTATTGGATTACCCAATTATCGATGGCAAACCCACCAAACAAAGGAAGAAAAATCCACATCAACACGCATAAAAGCCTCATGGATTTATGGGGCTGTTGGGCAATGAAAAAGGATCCTGACTACGAGCTATGAGCTATTGACATCAGCCCGTGCTTCGCCACGTTGCATACCCTGTTGACGCGGTTCAGAAGGGAGTAGCTTTGTGTGTTAAGACGTCAGTGATAAAATGAACACTGCTATTAATCTGACAGCCGAATTCCGTGAATGTGCAGGTGCGGAGAAGCTGTAGTCTTAGAGCGAAGCTTAACGTTGATAAGAAGCGGATAAAACGGGAAGGATGTCAACGCGTGTGCGTCATTCCGGAACGCGGAACCACGTGCAACATTGCCAAGTTCACAGCGCCACCAGCCCTATCTGCTTTGCCCAAACTCTTTATAACCACTTTAGCTTCAAACCAATCCATCTCTATAACTGTATAAGCGCGATGCCGCAGACACGCTCAGGAAAATCTAGAACCCAGAATGATAGAGTGCAACAACATGTCCTAAGCGACGGCGATGGCCCTGAACCAAACGACACAACAGCAACACCTCCATCTGCATCATTTAAAGACCAGTTGAGCAGCTACGCGTATAAGGAACAAGAGGTGACATCGAACGACGTCTCGGCATCGACCAACTCCGACCGTCCGAGAAAGCGCCCTAGGACGGCCACCATAGCATCTGCCGGAAGTGCCCAGGGATCTACCCGACAGCCGACAAAGAAGCGCAAGGCTGGCCAATACGCCCTTCCATCAAAATACGCCCATTTGTCTCCGCTCGTTGACATATTAGAACCAAACTTAATATGCGTGTTTGTTGGTACCAACCCCGGTGTTCAAACTGCGACTGCTGGGCATGCGTACGCGCACCCGTCAAACCACTTTTGGAAGCTACTCCACGCGTCAGGTCTGACAGATCGCCGCTTGAAGCCTGAGGAGGATCGTAGTCTTCCAGCCCTGTACTGTATGGGCAATACAAACATTGTAGACCGGCCATCCAAAAACGCAGCTGAGCTCTCGAAGGAAGAAATGTCAGCCGGTACTGCCAATCTCGATGCAAAATTCCTCAAATACAAGCCAGAAGCCGTTTGCATAGTTGGTAAAGGTATATGGGAGGCAATATGGCGTTACCGCTATGGCAAGAACCCTGGCAAGAATGAGTTCAAGTATGGGTGGCAAGACGAGAAACACAACATGGGCAAGTGTCCAGAGGACTGGGAACAAGAGTTGGATGTCAACGGCAATCCCTGGAATGGTGCCAAGGTTTTCGTGACTACCAGCACGAGTGGCCTTGCTGCGAGTCTGACACCTGGTGAAAAGGAGACCATTTGGAGACCATTCGGAGAGTGGGTGCAGAAGAGAAGAGAAGAACGAGGCTTCGTGCCCAGGCCAGCGGAAACCCAATCTGCTGTTGAAGAAACAGCGCAACTTTAACCATTTTTGAACAAGGTCTTTGCTGTAGGGCATCAGCCAAAACAGAACTCAATCAGCTGTCAAGATAATGCCGCCGAATGCATGTACCCGCGAGGCGTTCCAAACTCATATGCTTCGCCGGACTCGCCCTCTCAACCGTGGGATGCAACTGCTAAACGCTTTACGCCTTGGTGCATGACTTTCGAATCACCGACGCCAATGGTCTGCGCCACACGTAAATGATTCGCATGGATTCGTAAACAGCTGCCCTCCATCAACATTCTCACTTGCGTCTTGTGGCTCTAACTTGGATCAACTTTTCCGGTTCTTGGCGTAGTCTTGGCGGATGAAAGTTCACGGCTTGGCGTTGGACTTGCCCGAGCCACTTGCATTAACGCCGCCAATTGCACCGCCATAACATCGGATCCCAACCATGCTGCGCCTCCTGGGTGTGGCTCAACAACGTGACGAAGAGAAGCACATACCCACTAGCAAAAAGACATGATAAAAGTGCTTCTTCTGTCGACGAGCCATTTGTGGCTAGAGATGCCAAGTGAATAGAAGTTACGATGACTGAGCCACGGCACAGCAATTAGCGTTGTGTGATATCACTAGCTGCAGATGTAGCGCCACAGCTAAACTACGATGAGCACTAGCCTACGGAAAAAACGGCAAGCATGCCTATGTGAACGACACTTCATGCAACACAAGTTTCCGAGCAAGCAATCTTACTATCAAGTTACCCACAAAGCCACAGTGTGCTGGTTGAATGGACCGCTGACACAGAAAAAGGAATTGACCAATCTTGTACTCGAGCAAAGTAAGATGAGAAATTGAACTGACAACGCAATGCCCGACGATGCCACACCGGCTCCGCTCACCATCTGTGTACTGTACTACGGCGTAAGCACATACGCAAGTTGGTGCGCCTCCTCCCAAGACAATTGCATACGCGTAAAGACAAGGATTCTGCATCTACCGTTCCACTCCCTGTCTCATGGGGCCTGAGCAGCTGCCACATCCAGGCGCCCAAAGAGCCACACGCATGTGGCGCCGAGCAAACCACTCATCCGCCTTTTTTTTCGGCCCTGCAAATGCCTGTGGTTCAGCTGTGCACTGTGCTGCTAGTGGGCATGTGCGCGTGCGCGCGCCAAAGACCGACAGTCCTATTGCCCTTTTCGCGCCGCATCCGTCCTATCCGTTTACCGAGCATGTTGCGAAGGGTGGCAGTGCCGAAACAGCCAGCTAGTGGCTAGTGTGGAAGATGTCAAGAAGGAATACGGGGGGCCGCTCATCCTTGCCCCCTTACTTATGCTACTTATCTAAAGCGCTTGTTGTGCTGTGCCACAAATAGCCTTGGAGACCCTCTCTCTTTCCTCTGCCACACTTGTTCAAACGCCTCATAGTTTTTTGCACTCGCCTCGTCTCTTCGAGCCACAACCACACCAGCCACGATCCAAGCCTCCACGACTTTCTTAATTCAACGTCACTACATACCGCGTTCAACGCACAATTAAAGCGCTCCGCAACAACAAACCAAAAAATGAGTTACCCTCAGCAACAGATGAACTATGGACCTCCCCAGCCTGGATATGGACCTCCTCCTCAGCAACCTGTACGTTTTCCATTTTTTTTTTTTAAAATTTTTCCCCACGAAAATGCGTCCAAAGGGCGATTCCTCGCGCTCTTTGTAAAAATTAGCAAAGAAGAGGTGCTAATTATTTTTTCATGTACAGATGTACTACCAACAAGCGCCGCCACCACCTCCACCAGAGGAGAAGAAGGACAGGGGTTGTCTGACTGCTTGGTAAGTTTTCTCTCTTTCTCCACTTGAAAACCCTCCCCCAAATCATGACAACAAAAACAACACAAGACGAAAACTAACATGAAAACAGTTTGGCCACACTCTGCTGCTGCTGGCTCTGCGGTGAAACCTGCGAATGCTGTCTCGACTGCCTCGATTGCTGCGACTGCTGCTAGTCCCCCTTCCCTTCCTCAACTCTCCATTGGCCCATTGGTCCTGAGGTGCCCCCCGCCTGTTCCGCACAAGAGTTTCAATACGATTCTCCACCTGATTTTTACTCGATGCGCATGCGATAGGATGGGATTTTGCATATACTGGGATGAAAGGAAGGGGGAAAGGATGGGATGGGATGCGCGTTGGTTGAAGGAGGCGCGTGAGCGTGTGTGTGTGTGATATGGTATTTGTATGAGATATGAAGGGGCTGGAGGGAAAGAGATGGATGAATGGGTGGATTGGAGTTTTTTTTCCCCTTAGCAGACAAGTGTGTGCTATGGCTGCTGCGCTTTCTTTCACTGCGCATTTTTGTGTTTACCCCACGCGAATAGATTGGCAATGAATTGGATAATGGACTTGATTTACTTGAAGTTTTCTCTTTCTCTTTCTTGAATTTGCTTTTACTAAATGCCAGGATGAAACAAAATTCCATTTGATCGATATTCAAACTCGCTCTGTGTTATTCGCAAGTCCTTACAGTCAATGAGAAAAGAGATTCAATTGAAAGAAGAGGAAAGGAAAATCACAGCGTTTAATCATCATAGGCCTCCTCAAGCTCCTCTTGGTACGCTTCCTGTGCCTCAATGAGCTCCTGGCGCTTCTCCTCCAGAGACTCACGGTCGCTACTTGAGATGGAGGAGCCATCTGCGTCGTGAGTAGGAACTGGTGGAGGTTCTTGGAAGGCTGCAGCGTTCTCATAGGGATCCGATGGAGGAGCACTGTATGGAGCGGCGCCGTAGCCATATGGATCAGCAGCAGGCGCTGCGGCTGCGGCTGCGGCTGGGGCAGCGGCTGGGGCAGCGGCTGCAGCAGCCTTGGTTTCGTCGTCACTATCATCGGCTGGGGAGAGTTAGTTGTGCGACAAAGATTTGGAAAAATAAAAAGAGGAAGAGAAGAAGAAAACGTACCAAGTTGGTGGCCAATAAAAGCACCAGCGGCGATACCTCCTATACCGGCAGCAGCCAGCATAGCAGTGGAGTGACCCTTCTTTTTCTCTGCTTCGTTGGTAGCTTGGCCAGAAGCAGTGTAGTCGTGTCCCTGGTGGCCATGGGTGTTTCCGAACAAGCCACGCTCATCGTGCCCAGCTGCGGGCACGTAGGGTGCGCCAGCGGCTGGAGGAGCGTATGGGCCTGGTGGCAGATGGGAAGGCGGGTCCCATTGCGTACGTCCAGTAGCCTGCTCAACGTAAAACCAGCGCTGGCTGTTCTGGTCCCATTGCTGGGTCCAGCCAGGCGGCATTGGAGGAGGTGCGCCGTAAGGCGCTGGTGGGCCTACTGGTGGGGGTGGACCCTGGCCGTATGGCTGTTGCTGAGGGTAGCCCTGGGGCGGGTATCCCTGACCCTGAGGCGGGTAACCTTGACCCTGAGGAGGAGGGTAACCTTGACCTTGAGGAGGATAACCTTGACCTTGTGGAGGAGGATAGCCTTGGCCTTGGGGCGGACCACTGTTCCCATAGTATGAGTCGGACAGTGAGCGGTCGCCAGGGCCAGCACCACCGGGGGCGCCGGCGTGCGAGTCATGAGGAGGGCCACTCTGAGAGTCTTTGTAACATTAGGATTTGGATCGCGACTGTGTGTACGAAAGCATGTTTACCTGTTGGCTTCTTGTCGTCATCGTCCAGCAGCTCCTTCATCTTCTTCTTGAGGAAATCCATGATGAAAGGATGTGAGGAAACAACAAATGGACAAGTACTTGCAAGGCGAGAAAGGGATGAAGAGGAAGTTTGAAGTTTGTCGTGTGAGCGGGGTGGAAGAAGGCTTTAAAGCAAAAGAAAGTGGGCACTGCTGGATACCAGCGGGGCGTCTGATGGCAGCCTCTGGGCACGCATAGCTCCACGGGGCATGGGAGCATGGGAGCAGATTGCTCAGGGCGTACACGGCTCGCGACATGCACGAGAGAGACAAAGGGCACCAAACAGAGGGACAGAAGGCAGCCGACTCGTCCATTGGCAAGCGGGTTGAAAAGTGGGGGGATGAACCGACTTGCTACTTGCGGAGGCTAGCCTGGATGCCGTCTGCTGTGAGTGGATTAGTGAGACTTGGCGATGTGTATGTGAAAGCATCTTGGGTATTGGGTTTCTGCGGCGATTGCTTATGGCAGAGAGCAATAGCATGGGTGGGTGTCTACCGGCGTGTACAGGCCTGGCTGGGCTTGTGTCACCGCGCGTATGTTTGGATGGCTGCCAATGGCTGCTGGCGAGTCCATGGGCTGGCGGACGCTGGGTAACAGCGAGTGCGGGATTGACGACCTGTTGTAGAGGGAGTTGGGCGACATGGGTTGGTGTATGGAAGGGCCTGGTGTGGCAGATGGAGTGAGGCTTAGCGACGCATGCGCCATTGATTTAATCTGTACCCAGCCACGGCTGCCACAGCTGGCCGGTGGCGGGGCAGGTGCAGCCGGCCGGAAGTCACGATGGACGTGGAGGGCGTTGGGGGCTGACTAATGGGCGCCTACCCTACTCGACCCTACCAGCCACAGGCCGTTGCAGCAGATTGCGGTGCCGTGGGCGTGTAAGGTTGTGCGCGTGTCGCATCATGGTGCGACGGTGGCCAGTTGACAGCGCCGGCCCGCCCTGGACGCAACAGGCGTGACGCGGTCAACGGACATGAACGGGTACAGGCACATGTACAGATACATGCACACTGGCGCCTTGTGGAGGGGACACGGCCAGTGGTGCAGTCAGTAGCTATGTGGGCGTATGGACAGAAGCGCGACGACAAGAGCCCCGCCGCACGAGACCCTGGAGCGGGCGCGGGACGGTGCGGCGTCGCACGTGGGAATGGCGACCCGTCAAGACTGCCTGGGGACCGTGGGAATCGTCGTGGTTAATATGCAAGAGAGCAGAATTAGACGTGCCTGGGGCGCCGTGCGTACGCGACTGTAGCTGCAGGCTGCTCACAGCAGCAGCGGAGCCAGGAACGCTACTTGCTGCATGCAAACTGACAGTGCGCATCTGGCGTGGCAGCGCCGCGGGCGGGCGGGCGGTCTAGACCGCGGGCGCAATGATGTCATGACCTCGCGACCTGCCACCTGCCAACCGCGAAACCCCGGCTTCCGCGCCGACCCCCTGATCGTGGCCTTCGTGTCGGCCAGATGGGTGTACGAGGGCATTCTCGAATCCCATGTGTTCCGTCATCGCAGAGCCGCGACATGCTTGCATCGCAGACAGAAACGTCGCGCCAAGCGTGCGCCTCGCAGAAGCCATCGTCGATGCGAATGCGATTCCCGGCCTGGCTAAGAAGCAAGTAGCCAGGCAAGCGAGATGTGCGGGCCATGGTGGGCTGGACGCTTTCTGCCTCGACGCCAGCTGAGGCCCAATTGATACCTACACTTACATTGTCTGCGTCGTCTTGTGTGTCGCCTCCCACAGACACCACCTCTGCTGCATCGCCGTCTGAAGAAAAGCGCGCCAGCAACCACATTTGCGCCTCTGCATCTCGCCGCCGTCGCACATCTTCCTCGGCGGGGCTGATACGTGTTGCGCAATACGTACGCTAGCGACGTCAATCCCCCGGCCTCCATGCAGTCGACCTGAATGCCATCGCGGGCCAAAGACGACAACGACGGCGACGACAACCATCCTCGACACCCACTTTTGTACCCAGACGGACCATCCAGGCCGCGTCCACAGCCCTCCGCCGGCCCTGCCCTGCCGCATCCCAGCAACCACTACGTATGAGGGAGCCGCGCTCAATCTTCACAGGTACAGGGAATGACTCGACGACGGCTCTTGACCGCACGCCCGATCAGCGCCAACTAGACACTTGCCAACAACACCATTTTGTCGCAAAAACTCCAGACCCGCCGCCTGCCCCCCTCAACTCGCCCTTTGAATTCCCCGATCCCCACGACCCATGGGCCCGCCTATCGCCAACCCCTAGCAACAACCACCACCACCTACACCAGCGGTCGGGCTCTGCGCCGCTGCAGCGCCGCCCACCACACAGCGGCACGCAGTCAGCGCTCGCTCCGCCGGCCATTGCCGGCATCAAACGCTCTCCCCCGTCCCTCGGTGACTACCCTTTGGCCTCCATCTCTTCACGACTGGCCCCGCCCCAAACCGAGCCCTTGCACAAGCGCCGCAGAGCCCTCCCTCCTCTGCGCTATTCGCTCGACCGCTTCACTCTTTCAAAGGCTGCCCAGTCGCGCCTCCCTACCGAGCCTCTGTCGCCACTCTTCTTCTCCTCACGAACCATCCGACTCAACCTGCCCCCACGCTTTTCCAGCTCCGAGGCGGCAGCAAGTATGCTTAGCAAAACTCACGAAGAAAGCAACATCAAGACCGTCACCCTTGCAAGAGGCACTTATAGTAGCTTGAGCCCACCGGGGCCTCCACCTGGCGCTGGTGGAAGATCGTCAGAGCGCTCCAGTCTCCCGCGCACAGCATCTCCGGATACGCGAGAAAAGAGCGATCCATTGCGGATCCTGGCATCCATTGGCATAGTCGAGCTGCTTGAACATGACGGCCGACCGACTTTTATTGTCGACATTGGCGAATCCACAAGTCGCACCCCACAACCGACCACTTTGCACATACTTTTTGCCAACAATGCCCTTCGATCAAACCCTTCGGCCTGGGAGTTGGTGGCTGGCAAATCGCCTGCATCCACGCCCCAAGACTCCATTGTAAACGCAACACATCAATTTCGTGCCTGGTTACTGGATCCAACACACCAGAGCCAAGGCAGCCATACTAGTCCTCTTCCAGTGGATTATGGCGGGATTTTGTGGTCGTGTTTTACCCTACGAAAACGACTGCGCGTTGTCTCGGGCCATGTATCCGCCCCTGCAACAATCCTCCCCTCCACACATGTGCCCGATGAAGTTGCCATGCCTATGCTATCAGCAGTAGCCCATGCTTCAGGCAATGGCGCTGCTTTCACATCACCTCCACCCCGGATCGATGAAGCACAAGATTACTTTGGTAGTGCAGGGCCTGCCACTCCCCGAAAAGCATCGACATCTCCCATTGCAGCACCACAACCTGATCCAACTTACTCCAAACTTGGTCACAAAACCATGGTGCCAGACCTTCCATCCAGAATAAACCTAACATCGATTGAAGAATCTGCGCCATTTGTTAACCAGTGTGTATTGCGAGCCCATGTTGCAGGCGACGTTGACCCGTTCTATAGAGAAAATGATGAGGTGGGCGAGGAAGTTCGCGACATGGGCTTCTTCGATTGGACCAGGCTAGCCCCGTCTCCTACTCTACCCAAGCACATCCAATTTGCTCGCTCAATAGACTGGGCCTCGACACCACTGGGCCCCATTGAGTACTGGTCTAACGATTTGCGCGCCATGTGCAACCTCATCATGTGAGCGCCCCAATTTTCTGCATGAGCCTATGCAGCTCAATACTAATCTATTTACCAGGGCGAGCCCTCATCCTGCAGCCATGTACTGGGGCGAAGAGCTTGTGGCCATTTACAACGAGGCCTACATCGGTATGTTGAAACTTGACAAAACTGCTCCTTTTTCTAACCACCAAACTAGGCCTGGCAGGCCAGAAACATCCAGCGCTCATGGGCCAGAGCTACAGAGTTGCCTGGGCGGAGATTTGGCACGAGGTCAAGGACGTTTTCGCAAATGCACGACTCACCGGCCAAGCGACTATGAAGGACGACGATTGCCTGTTCATCTGGCGGAATGGTTTCATCGAGGAAGCATACTTTTCATGGTCCATTATTCCAATGGTCGGTGAGGATGGAACAGTAATGGGCCTTTACAACCCGGCTTTTGAAAAGACAAGACGCAAAGTTGCTGAGAGGCGCATGCTCACACTCCGCGAAGTCGGCGAACGGACTGCGACCGCTAGGGAAATCAAAGGCTTCTGGGATCAAGTGCTTCTCGCATTGACCGAAAACGACTTCGACACCCCAATAGTCATGCTTTACAGCGTCAATGACGAAAATGATAGCGACTCGTCCTCCCTGCACTCTAGTAGCTTACTCGGCTCAAAACAGTGCTACTTGGAGGGCTCGCTAGGCGTTCCAGCTGGGCACCAAGCAGCCCCCGATCAGATTGACCTTAAAGACGGACAAGAAGGCTTTGGGCCTGTCTTCCGGGAGGTCATGAAGACGGATAAGCCTGCGGTTGTTAGTATCGGATCGGATGACTTGCCAGCCTCCATGATGGAAGGAATAGAATGGCGTGGCTTCGGGGACCCTTGCCGAGAGATTGTCATCTGTCCCATTCACCCCACCACAGGCGAGAATATCCTTGGCTTCCTCATTATGGGCATCAATCCAAGGAGACCTTATGATGATGACTACAACCTCTTTGTGCAGCTGCTCAGCCGACAACTTGCTACATCACTGGCTTCCGTGGTCCTTTTTGAAGAAGAGATACGCAGGGGTCAAAGAGCAGCCCGGCTAGCGGCAGAAGACAGATACAATCTTTCTACACAGCTTGCCGCACGCACACAAGAAGCCCTAGAAAGCGAGACCAGGTTCACACGCATGGCCGAGTTATCACCAGCAGGTTTGTTCATTGCTGACCATGTTGGAAGAATAACGTACTGCAATGACACTTGGTACGAAATCGCACGAGTACCAAGAGAGCCCGAGATGACAGATAGATGGATCGAGTACGTCAGAGATGAAGACCAGCCATTGATTCTTGAGCATTGGGAGCGACTAGTCAACGACACTACGCCCATCAACCTGGAATTCCGATTCAAAGCACCTTGGGAGGATAGGGACCGCACAAAAAGCGACACGTGGGTGTTGTTCTCGGCTTTCCCCGAAAAGGACGAACACGGGCAGCTCAAGAGTGTTTTCGGTAGCATCACGAACATCTCACCTCAAAAATGGGCCGAAGGGTTTCAAAAGCGGAAGATGGAGGAGGCCGTTGAGCTCAAACGCCAACAAGAGAACTTTATCGACATTACCAGTCACGAAATGCGAAACCCTCTTTCCGCTATCCTCCAATGTGCCGATGAAATTTCTACTATCCTAGGCGACTTTAGGGCTTCAGGCTCTCAAGTCATCGAGCCGGGTATTGTAGCCGACTCTATAGATGCCGCACAGACGATCGCCTTGTGTGCACAACATCAGAAACGCATTGTTGACGATGTGTTGACGTTGTCGAAACTCGACAGTGCAATGCTCATGGTAACATTGGACTTTTCTTCCGAAAACAGGACTTGAGTTGTCTAACATTTCCACCAGGTAACGCCAGTAGATGCGCAGCCATTGCAAGTCGTCCAGCGTGCTTTGAAGATGTTTGAAGGCGAGGTTCAAACAGCCGGTATACAGATGGAGTTTGTCCTCACCGATTCATTCACAAGTTTAGGGGTCGATTGGGTCAAAATTGATCCGTCGCGAGTCTTGCAGGTGAACAGAAAGTTGCATGCAGTAGTTGCTTTTATGACTAATCCGGGTGCAGGTGCTCATTAACCTCACCACGAATGCCATCAAGTTTACAACAACTGAAGAAACAAGGACTATCAAGGTGGTTCTCTCAGCGTCTCGAGAGCGCCCATCGGCGCGCAGCAACCCTACAGTGAACTACTTTCCCATGCGAGCCAAACGGATAGACCAGACCTGCGGTCCCGACTGGGGAGATGGCGAAGAGATCTTCTTGGAATTTGCAGTCCAAGACACAGGCCGAGGGCTAACTCCAGAAGAAAAGAAGCTTCTTTTCCAACGCTTCTCCCAAGCAAGCCCACGGACTCATGTCCAATACGGTGGATCTGGCCTAGGCTTATTCATCTCACGAGAGCTCACTGAGTTGCAAGGAGGCGAGATTGGTGTCTCTTCTGAGGCAGGGAAGGGAAGTACGTTTGCCTTTTACGTCAAGTGCAGGAGGAGTATCGAGCCAAAAGACACATTGGAAGTTCTTCCAGTTTCCTTGTCACGCAAGGTGTCCAATGCGAAAGACAAGGGAAGGACCGGAATGCCCGTACCGTCACAGTCGAAAACAATAACCAAGGACTTTGCGATTGTGCCAAAACAGGATACTGTCACACCAAAACCACAGCCAAAGAAGGAGATTAAGGTGCTCATCGTAGAGGACAACTTGGGTACGTCACCAAGCCTATTCATTGTACCTGCATCACCACTAACGCTCTATAGTCAACCAAAGAGTTCTTCAACGCCAGCTTCAAAATCAAGGCATACAAACCATTGTTGCAAATCACGGTGGTGAGGCTCTTGAAGTCCTGAAACTATCCACCTTCTGGGCCTCCCCTTCATCGCCCACAACTACCGCCACACCTCCGACCGATATCTCGGTTGTCCTTATGGATAAAGAGATGCCGGTCATGGACGGTCTCCAATGCACGTCCAGAATCCGTGAACTAGAGCAGCACGGAAAGTTCAAATGCCACGTCCCCATCATCGCTGTCACGGCCAACGCTCGCAGTGAGCAAATCGCTACTTTGCTAGCTGCCGGTATGGACGATGTTGTCAGCAAGCCATTCCGAATTGGCGAACTTATTCCTAAAATCGAGGATTTGGCCAACCGTTTTGGGAACAAAAAGCCCGTCTCTGATGATGCCGCTTTGAAAGTCCTGGCTGGACCCAGTGTACAACCGTACGGCGTATGACGAAGTATATGAAACATTATTTTACTTTCTTCACACACACACTTTTCGGGTATCCTCCCTGCATCAGCTTTTAATGCAGTCAGCTTTATCTCGTTGCTTTTCTTCCTCTTCTTCTTCCTCTTCTTCTTCTTCCTTTTGGATCTTCTTTACTATTTCGTATTAGTAAGCATACACACAACTGGAGTTTGTTGTTTCACACGCATCAACGACATGAGTGTTTTTTCTCGCTTGTTAATGAAGCATTTTCGGGATGTGTATACCCCCCCCCCTTTCCGCGGTTCGGTAAATAAAACATCATGAGGGCACCCAGGGAATGAGTTGTAGAAAAAAAACAAGGCAAAGTACAGTCCAATACAGATAGAGGTATAGGCAGAATAATGAAAATCTCCAAGGTGGACCGCATTCCCACCATACTCGGCATTTGAACAAACTTCGCCCTTCCCTCTGATTATGCTACTATTTACTTCATTAATTGCCATGCTGGAGATCTAGAATCTGTTTGTTCAGCTCTTCAATCCAGTTCATTCACTAATTCAGAACCCTATGTTCGATACAATGTTAGCAACGGCGTGATAAATAACAACATGAATAGCCCAAACAAATAGACAGAGGCTGCGATGCACCGATTTTAACCCTGATTATGAGATCCGGATTGTACTTTGTGCTATCTCCACCCATATTCTCTTTGCTTTGAGGAGAATGCAACTTGCAATCAGAGACGCTCTACGGGGGGTATTAGCAGTCCCCGGAGATCATTAAGCTTTTGAATAATGACATATTACATCGTCGTTGTGGGGCTGGTAGCGACGGTTAAATTAACGCCGGTGGCTCCGCAGAGCTAATTCACCTATCATCGTAGAAGGAACTCATACTTGTAGCAGCGGATATGGATGCATCCGCTATCTGAAGGGCGTCTACTTTTTTTCTCTCATCGCATGGCCAACATGAGCGTTCAAGTAGTCAGCAATTGGGCTCATACGGCGCAGAAATTTGCGTTTGGTTTTCTAATCGTTGTGCTTGTTGCGCTGGTCCCAAAGATTGAGCACCGATTGAGGCTTTCGAAGATACCAAAGTTTCTTGCTTTCACCAATGGCGCACCAGAACATACCTTTTATGCAAAATATGCTATGCAGCTATACCGTCAGGCCTACAAAAAGGTAGGTTGCCTATGCTAATGACGTAGCTAATAACTGATGGTCTGGCAGTTCAAAGACTCAATATATCGCGTTAAAGTAATTGGCGAACCTGAGTGCATATTGTTGCCTACGAAGTTTCTATCAGAGCTTAGAAGATAACCCGACAGTGTTCTGGATAGTATGGCCGCCGTACGTAAAGTGAGAGTACATAACTAGGCACTTGTTCAATTTGTCATATATAAGGGCCAATAGAGCGACGGTTGAGTGGAAAGTATGCGTTACTATAGTTCGTGCATAGATCGGCGAAGACATGAGACACACCCCCTCTTCATAGCTGTGCTGTAAACGAAAGATCAACAGATTTTAAAA